GAGTTTGGGTCTCCAAAACTCTGGGGAAGGGGGATCAATGAGGTGTAGGTTCAGCCTTAGTTCAAGCCCAAACACATGTTCTTTCTTGTTCCCTCTATTTCTCTACTGTCATGAAGAAATCTTTTTTTTTTCAGCCTAAAACAGTGCTACTGTAGGGCCAACCAATAAGGCCCCATCAAACTTCTATAGCCTGGAGCCTGGGTCTCCACAACACCCAAAAGAGGGAGGACAGACCAGAGTGTAAGGTTAGATTTTGTTGAAAGCACATAGTTCAGGTCCTCAGATCAGCTAGTGCAACCTTACTACTGGTATTGTAGTGGTCAGTAGGGGAGGAGAGCATTGCATAAGTTCAGAGTAGACACAAGCTTATGTTTTTTTTTTTGTTGTTGTTGTTTTTACCTTTTGGGTTCCAGTTGTCTTAGACCTTGGAAACAACAGAAGTTACTTTATCTTTGGTGCATAATTTCTGTTTTGGAGAGCTTTGGGAGGTCATGGGGATCAGAGACAATGTTCAGCCTTCCATCTTTTTGGTCATGTAAACACACAATAAGCATTTTTTAAATGCTTATTGTTATTGTTGTTGATTTCAGCAGGGGACTAAAGTTACTAAAGGTATTTATAGCTAGCCCTGAGTCTAGCGTGGTCCTTTTTGCTGTAAGACCTCTAGGATTTAAAGGGACAATGGATTCCATTTATCCAAATTTTTTTATTTATTTAATTTTTAATTTATGGAATAAAACAAGCATTTCCATAACATAGTATAATAAAAAAGATGATTGCACATGAAACTGCAAATCTATTATGTACAACTTGCTATTCCTTTTAAATATATAATAAAGTTATCATGTAAATTTTCTTTTTTTCCCCCTCCCAGCTACCCTAGAGATGGCTACCATTAGACACAAATATCTGTATCTCTCTATATGTGTGTATGCATATGTATGTAAAATTATTCTATACATGCTTCTATTTATCAGTTCTTTCTCTGGATGCAGATAGCGTCTTCCTTAATATGTCCTTTGTGGTTAATTTGGATATTTATAATAGTCAAAATGACTTATTCACTCAAAGTTGTTCTTAAAACAATATTACTGTTACTGTCTACAGCATTCTTTTGGCTCTGCTCATTTCACTCATTATTTTATGCATCTATATATGTTTTTCTAAGATCACTGAGATCATCATTTCTTATGGCACAGTAGGATTCCATCACAATCATATACCACAACTTGTTCAGCCACTCCCCAATTGATGGCAATCCTGCAATTTCTAGTTCTTTGCCACCACAAATAGAGAGGCTATACATATTTTAGAACATATAGGTTCTTTTCCTTTTCCCCTAATCATATTTGTAAATAGACCTATCAGTGGTATTGCTAGGTCAAAGTACATAGGTAGTTTAATAACTCTTTGGGTATAAATCCAGATTGCTCTCCAGAATGGTTGGATCAGTTCACAATTCTACCAACAATGAACTAGTTATTTGTCCCACATCCCCTCCAGCATTTGTCACTTTCCCCTTCAATCATTTTAGCCAATCTGATAGATGTAAAATGATATCTCAAGGTTGTTTTAATTTGCATTTCTCTAATCAATGATGATTTAGAACATTTTTCCATATGACCATAAATTGTTTTGATTTCTTCATCAGAAAACTTCCTGTTCATGTCCTTTGACCATTTATCAATTGGGCAACGACTTACATTCTTATACATTGTACAAAGTTCTTTATATATTTGAGATATGAGACCTGTCACTGAGAAACTGTCTATAAAATATTTTCCCCAGTTTTTTTGCTTTCTTTCTGATCTTGGACATATTTTTTATTTGTACAAAATCTTTTTAAATTTAATGTAATCAAACTTATTCATTTTGTACTCCAATCTGCTCTCTATGTCTTGTTTATTCTTTTGTATTATTATTTAAATGGTTTCCATTTCAACAGGGAAACCTGACAAGTTTACCTTGGTAGTTCCAGGTTCAATTCTCAGAGTCAGAGAGTGTTAGTGGTATATTCCCAGGTTGTGGAAACATGTCTTCCTCAGTGGGGTCAATGGTCTTCCAGTGGTTGGAATTTTCTAAGATCTCTGGAGCATCTGGTTTTGGCTTCTTCACATAATTCTGTAGTCCCAAGAACAGAAAGTATGACAAGTTCTTACTGGAAAGTCTTCCCTCTAAACAGCACTGCAGCCAACAGGTTGTATACAGAGAAGGTATGATCATATGATAGTCAATATTGAAATGATAAAGAGGGAGAATGGGAAGATTAGAGGCTTTACTTTCTCAGATTGGGCTCACTTACTCCAAGGGGAAAAATAGCAAATGGTACAAAAAAAACCCCATCAATAGAGAAACATCTCATCAACTTTCTAATACTGAAGAGTTATAATTACACAGATCTACATTGGAAATGGGTTTATTACAGTCAGAATTTCAAGGTGCCTGTTATGCACGGTCAATGTGCTGTTGGTCAAGGTATTAGGGATAAGGTTCTAATACCTAAGGAATAGATTAAGTGCTGGAACCAGGACTACAATTTACTGATGAGTCAGGCTTATTGAATCCCTTAACTCAAAGAAAGGTTCACCTCTCATGTAAGGCCATAATTTAGTCTTAGAGAGTTGCCTATAGCATTAAATTTAATGTAATCAAAATTATTAGTTAAGTGACTTGCCCAGGGTCACACAGGACCAGTATGTATCAGAGTAGAGACTTGAACCCAGTTATTCTTGGCTTCAGGAACAGCTCTTTGTCCTCAGAAATACCACTGTAATATCTGGATGGTCTGGGACATCTGATTACTGACCAAGATAAGTCAATTCTTCATCACCTCCTTACTCGTCTATCCAACTATTCATTTACTGCAGTCAGTCTTGTTCCTTGCACACCATATCTAATTATGAACAAAACTTGCTGGAAGTCAGAAGCTCAGGGAAGCACTGGAGGAGAAAAATAAATAAAAATCAAATCAAATGCAGCTCAAGATCAGAGTTTTATGTGAACAAATAAAACTCTTTCAAGGATAGAAAAAATGTAAAATGTTTTAAAATCTCCTTTTGATTTATATGTTTTAACTCAATGGGAAATTCCAAGAATCAGAATTGGGCACTTTGGTAGATATGATCCAAATGAATTGATCTATTTGTCTGTTTGTCTATCTATCTATATATCTATCTATAACTATCTATCTATCCACTTATGTAGGACTAGATTTGTGATTTCATTGGTAACAGAGATTCCCCCTACAAATACAAATCTGCATTTTCTCTGCAATTTACAGTCTTAGAGAGTTGACTAGAGCCTTGAAAGGTGAAATGACTTGCCTAGGGGTCATGCAACCAGTGTGTTTCAGAGGCAGGACTTGAACGCAGCTCTTCCTGACTCTGAGGTCAGCTCTCTATCCACTCCACTGCCATACTGCCTTAATGAATAATAGCTCACATTTATGTAGTATTTTAAGCACATTTACAAAGCACTTTATATGCATGATTTCATTTGATCCTTACAACAACTTTGCAAGAAAGGCGATATTATTATCAGCCCAATTCTACAGGTGAAGAAACCAAAGCTCAAAGATGTTGAATGACTTGCCCAGATTGACTCAGGTAGGAAGCACCTGAGGTGGGATTTAAATCTTGATCTTGACCACACTCCTAGGGCTCTATCCACAAGTGCAAGTCAGGTGAATTATTTACTTTCCTCTCACTCTGTGCTAGTTTTCCTTAACTTCAGTAATTTTTTCTAAACACAGTCCTACAACGCACACACACACACACACACACACACACACACACACACACACACAAATGCATGCCCCTGAATGCACACACACACATACTCTGAATGACTCTAAATCATTGACCTCGATCGTAAATTGAATCCACCTTTTAGAGAAAGATTTATATGTTGATTCTCTTGAAAGGTGACTTTTGAAGTTCTCTTTCTCTAAGGTTGACATTAGGAAGAGGGAGGAGAGGTAGTGATGTGGAAGGCTGAGCAGAGGAAATGAGCAATGATGTGACGGATGATCCAGAGGAAGAAAGGACTGGGCCGGCAGCATGGACGTGGACACAGGGAGGTTATACTAATAAGCCTGAGGTGACTATAGGGATTCACTGGCTCCTAATTTTAGAAATGATGTCATTTCTACATTATTTGTGTGCTTGTTGGACGAAATGGACCTTTGTAATATTTCTGTTATGATAATATGAAAGGCCAGTGCTGCAGTGACGCCAGAATATAAGCCTTGGTGTCAGGAATATCTGGGTCCATATACCATGTCCATATTCCTGACATGTACTGGCTGTGTGAATGTGGGCAAGTCACTTAACCCATCACTGCTCCAGAAGAGTGACTCTGTAATTACAAATTAGTGATATTAATCATGGATGAGTGGCATCTGAATCTGTAGAGAGTTCCTACACCAAAACATGATTAAAGATATGCCTACTATTGAAAAATGTATCCCCAATTTTGGGGAATTCAGATTGCCCTGACAAACCTTCCCTCTGTGATTGTCTAAATTTTCAATTGAGATGCTATTCAGAAAAACAGATTCTGACCTGCCAGTATAGGCACTGGGCCAGATAACTGATGAACAGAGGGAGTGGGACAGGTCACCAGGACAGGATACAGTGTGTGTGTATGTGTGTGTGTGTGTGTGTGTGTAGAACTCCACCAAGACTGAGAGAAACAGCATAGCACTCAGCTAGGTCCAGTTCTGACCACCCAAAAGTAACATTGGGAAGAGATCTAGGCTAGTGTGAGAGGAGGCTGATGCACTTTGAAAGCCAACCCTCAAGGAAACCACAATCAGGAAGTGAGTGAGAAGGAAAATAAGAGAGGAAAAGAAGTCTGAAAGTATCAAAGATTTCAGGAAAAAGAAGTCTCAAAGGCCTTGAACATAAGCAAATAAATCAACAGGAAAAAGAGTAACAATAAAAGGAAACAGGAGATGCTATTTGGGAGGTTTTGTATCATTTAATTCCTGTTTTATTTAGGAAATTCAATTCAATAAGTATTTATGAAGAACTTACTACATATCAGCCACTGTGGTAGTCCCTGGCGATTCAAAGTCAAAAGTGAAATTGTTCCTTGCCCTTAAGGAGTTTACATTCTACAGAAGAGGAAAAAGCTTGGCAATGGTGATGTATACCTAAAACCTTAGGTGCCAGTTCAAGGTAAGGTAAGTAAAAAAGCATTTATTAAACATATATTAGGTTCTAGACATAGTCCTAGAATATTCTCAGGTGTTGGTAATGCAAATAAAAGCAGAAAGAAAGAAAATCTCTGCCCTCAAGGAGCTTACATTCTAATAGGAGAAGACAGACCACACATAAAAGGAGGCTGGATAGTAGCAGGGGGAGAGGGAATGAAGGTACCCAGTGAGGAATTGTAAACAAAGTCTTGGAGGAGAGTGAAGAGTACAGCCTGGAGAGGAATGAAAAATGGGTGGCCTGGACACCTTCCTTAAAATGAAGGTTCTTGCAGGAAATAGCCAATCAGAGAGAAGGACTATAGGGGAGGTTGAGACTGGTTGATCTCTTGAGTGCTGGAATTCTGAGCTGCAGTGAGCTATGTTGTTGATCAGGTATCTGTATTGTTTAGCATTAACATGAAGAGCTCCTAGGGGTGGGATCCAGCAACATGCGTAAAGAGAGGTGAAGCAGGTCAGTTTGGAAATTATGTAGGTCATAATTCTCATGCTGATCAGGCCCGTGAATGGCCCCTATACGTCTAACCTGGGCGAGATCAGGGGATTGATCCCTATTCGTAAAAGGGAGGGGAGAAGACCCAGACATAGCTATCCACCTCCAACCACCAGCACAGGAATCACAGAAACCTATGAGTATATATGCTAGGCAGCAGGTTTATAAAATTCCCTTGTCATAGAAATTGTTAGAGACCTCTGAACACTGTGGGAATTTCAACTAGTACAGAAGTCTCTCTTCCATTGTTCACCAATTTGTGCCTTTAAAAAATAGGTTCTGTTAGAATTATGCCACAAATTTGTTTATGGATGATTAAAGATGTCATAACTTTCAGTGTCTTCAATGTTCAGCTATGCTTTGAGTCTCTTGGAGAACTCACAAAGTACAAAATACCCTTTGAAAAAGAATCCACTTCCCTACCCCAAAATTCATTAAGTAGAAATTGGCTGAACACAGCTTGCTTGTTCTATCTTACCTAAAGAATTATTTTTGGTTTGAGATCCTTGCCTGACAAATTTTTTCCTCAAATGAATATAGATCTTTCAGTGCAACTGAAACCTCCTGAAGGAAATGCAAGGGGATGATGGGAGTGGGAGAGCTCTCGCCTACCTCATCATTTTGGCCACCAGGAGCCTGTAATGAAAGGCTCTCTCAAGGCAAAGGATCCAGCTTTAAGCCTTATGCTGTCCTGAAGAAACTTCTATTTTTGGTTTCTCTGTAAAAAGAAAAAAGGGGAGTGAAAGCTTCGTGAAGTGATGACAGAAATTCAGCTCCTAAACCAGGAACATCTCTGAGAGGTGTCTCATGTAAAGGAGGAAGTACTGAGTAGATTGTAAAGTGGACAGAGGATCTTTGCCTACTAGTTGTGTGATCTTGAATCAGTCACTTAAGATCACCCAACCTCTATGTCCTCACCTGTGAAATGGGGATAAGAGCTGCCCTGGATTATTGTGAAGATCTCATGAAACAATGGACATGAAAGGACCAGGAGCTGAACCAGTCCAGTTTTGGGGATAGAAATGGAAATAGAAAGGCCAAAGTCGTCAATTCTAGGCTTCAGGTGATCTGTCATCATTGTGATGATGAAGATGAATGAAGATCACAATTAAATTAAATATAAGCAAGTAATGAGAAAAAGTAAGTGATTCTTAGCAGCCCTCTGTTACCATTACAGTATCCTTCCTCCCCATTCTGCTCCTGTTACCACTTTCCCTATACTGTGCTACCGTTACCACACTCTCTTCCTCCTACTCTGGTCCCATTGTTTTTGTGCCTCAGTTTACCTTTATTTCTCATGGAACGTGACTAAGATGAGAGGTCTGAGTTTTCTCAAACAAGATTAGCTTTTACAGAGATGAAGCTCGAGGCAATTGAAATATTATCAAACCCTAGGGATCATGCTACAAATATCTTGTCTTCTCAGTGTTCCAAGACTAGATGCACTTCCACAGAGAGCGAGGCTGTAGTAATGGGAATATTCTAAGATTGTCCTGTCACAAGTATCTTGTCTTCTGAGTGCTCTGAGACTAGATGCATATCTGCAGAGATTGGAATGTTCTCAGAATTTATGTCTCCGACCACAAATATCTTGTCTTCTGAGTGCTATATAGTTATGGTGACATTTTTCCTCACCCCCTTCCTGGAGGTGAGAGGTCCCCAGGTCTTACATATTGCACATGTTTTCCAAATGCATCGATCAGTTGGACTGACTTTTTTATTTTCCTCCCTCACACATACATCCCCATGCTCACTATACAGGATCCTCAGGGATCAGTAAAGGGAGGGAAGGGGGATAAAGGAGGGAAGGGGATAGGCAGGGGATGAGGGGCAGGTGGACTTTGAGCTGCTCACAGCCTCCTCTCCTGACTTTGGGTAATGGATAACTCACCCATCATCTTCCCTCTGCTACCATAATTGCAGAAGCAGGAGTGGGGTGCACAGGACTGAAGGCCATTTTTGATTTTTCTTTGTTTTATGGGTTGCCATCATCACAGAATTCATCACAGAATGTCCAGTCTAGTGGTGCCTTTCCATCCCAAGTTAGATTATTCCTCAGAAAGCAGTCATAGTGTGTTTCTGGTACTGTACTAGGCACATTTCCAGAGTGGTAGAACCTTCTAGAGCTTGTACTCTGCTGGCATAGTTTTTGAGAACCCAGAGTCACCTCCATAAAACCATGAAGCACTGGGAGTATAACTATTAAAGAAAGAGTGGAATACAAGAGGCTCATCCCAGAACCAGGCAAAGCATTTCCCAAAACTATATGGATTGTTCTCTTACTTATCCCAAGCTTCTTGAGCTTCCTGTCTCATGCAGCTCCTTACAGCAGTAGAGGTCTTAAAAACAAAATGCCAGATCATGATACTTGAGGTCTTACGAGAGCCCATAAAAGCCCTGAATCCAGGCCACTCGAAAGCTAGCTGTGATGGTTTGCTCCCTCTACTAGTTTTCTCTCCTTTGAGCTCACATGCATAGACAAAAGGTCTCCTGTTGTCTCCATGAAACTCCACTGCAGGTTTTTAAAGCTGATTGAAGCCTGCCCATTGCCTTGGCCATTATGGCCCTCAAAGGCTCGTACTATTTTGAGACTTTGATGCACAGTGCTAAGATCCTATGCCCTTGGAGCTGGATGGTTACTCTTAGAGCATTGTTTAATCATTGGAAAAAGAGGGATACCATGCATCCTAAAAAGATCCAGTGCTCAAACCCTAAATTAAAGACATGAGGAGCTGATGTAAAAATCAATTACTGTGGGTTTCGATGTCTGCAATCCTAGAGAAACAAATGGCAAACCAAGTCTGTCTATAATGCTGAGCAAATTGATCTCTACATTTTCCTCTGATGTAGGAAAGTGTGGAGAGATGTTATTAGAAGAGAGAGATTAAAAATAACCATGCAGGAAGCTTTCTAATTTGAAAAATGGACAGAGAGAGGCATGTTCTAGCCTTTCCCAAGTAGAGTGCTGAGGCAAATGGATGAACTGAAGAAGCCTAGGTGACTCACAACTTACAGGGATTCATAGAATTATAAAATGTTAGAGCTGGGACAGACCTTAGAAATTATCCTATCCAACCATTTCATCGTATAGATGAGAAAATTAAGTCTCATAAAGGTGATTTGACTTACATTAATTCACACTTACAATGCTTAATCAATTATAACCATGCTATTACTTAGCCCCTTAAAAAAGGCAATGGACAGACTCATCAGTTAGCTTTCTGATACACTCTAGTACAGAAGGTCTTAGGACCTTGGATCTGGGCCCCTGAAGGCTTCCTGCAGCCCTATAAAGCCCTTCTCATAGGGCCTCTCTTGGTTTGGGCACAGTTCTAAGCATTGTCCTTTGTTCTCTAAGAGGACCATGACATCAGAGAGGAGCTATCATGACATGCAAGTAAACTGGATTTATGTGAGGGAGGACTGTGCAAAGTCACCAGCCTCACTTTCTTCTCTGGAGCCATCTGGGTCCAGTGGTGAGATATAGATCAAGATGACTGGAGATGGTCCTGTTTCCTCATGACTTGATAGTTATTGTTGCTATGTGGAACATAACCCATAGATTCAGGACCTCTTAAATCCTTGTTTCAATATTTCAAAAGGTCTCCAACTTCACTCTTGCAGGTTCGTGACACCTCTGATTCATTAGGCGATCTTCATGAGTTGCTGTCCACTACGCCTTCCTTTCTCCCCCCCCAAAAAAAATCATTACCTGCTAGTCAACTTTCTGGTAAGGTACCTCCCTGAATTTAAGCTAGGCTGACCTTTGGTTGGCAGATACACCACTGGACTGGTACTTGAGGACCTTTCATCTTGGTAGAACATGCCAGAGTCCACACATCACTGATAGTCTTTGAAAATTTAGGTTCAACACCAGATTATGATGAGGCAAGTTAATCACACTTTAGTGGCTTTAAGTAAACAGAGTTAAATATGTATTTGCTGGATATTCTGTTTCCCTGACTAATTGATTTATATCCTTTAAGCAGCAAGCAATCAATCAATAGGAATTTATTAAGCATCTACTATGTGCCAGACCCCATCGTGGATTACTGCCTTGTCATGGTAATTCATTGAAATCTGTGGTCTATAGGGTTACCTAAGATAGCCTTGTCATAGTAGAGAGTTCTGACAAAAAGGTGATCCACTGGAGAAGGAAATGACAAACCATTCCAGTATCTTTATTAAGTAAACCCCATGGAAAGTATTAAAATGTTAAAAGATATGACCTTGGAAGATGAACCTCTCAGGCTAAGGGGTCTGCTGTGCTATGATCCACGGGGTCAAGAAGAGCTGGACATGACTGAATGAGTGAACTACAAAGAAGTGGCAGGCACTAATTTCTGCTACAAATATGTAAGTGTACTATTATATTTGTAGCTCATTTCAATTCAGCAAACATTTATTAAGCACCTAATATGTGCGAGGCATGGTCATAGGCACTGGAGATAGAAAAATTAAAACACTCCCTTCTTTA